TTTGCGCGGGCCTGCTGCGCCGCGCCCCGCGCAGAACCTCAGGCCGCGTGTGCGTCGCTGCGAAGGGCACCCGGAGCGGCAGCGTACTGGAGCGCGAGTCCACTGACTTGACGCACGTGAGCGAGGCGGCTGAGCCCTCTGACCCTGCGCCGGCGCCTCCCAGCGGCCGGGCCTCGCGCCGAGTCCCGGGCCCCTCCCGGATGGGCCAAAAGGCCCTCAACGGCACCTTGGCAGTCAAGGTGACTTAAACGCACGTAGGAAGTACGCTTGGATGTTAAAGGACTGGAGTGAGAGGGAATAGTGGATGGAGTTTCACATGTTAATACAATAAAAAGCACACACCATTTCACGTGCAGTGACCCTCCGTGTCTCCGCATATCTCGCGAGGCTTTGTGGTAAGGAGCCTCTGGGACTTCACAGGGAAGCCTTGGCTGCTTGGGTGACGGGGAAGGAGGGCAACCTGCGCCAAAGACAACCGAATTAAAAATCTGTGTAGAAATTCCTAAACGAGTGAGGCTGGGGAGAGTGCGACGGGCAAAGGCTCTTTGCGAGTGGCCATCTGAAGCCACCAGATGCATGTAGATCGGTAAATCAGCAGTCGCCAATGCGTGGCGCAGGCCGGCAGGGTGTTTAAGCGCACTCGAAAAGTTGATTGGTCGGTGAGGGACGCAGACACTGTATGTCCTCCTAGCGTTCCCGTGCCGGTGTGCGGTGGGTCCTCGCCTGCTCCCAGTTTCCTGGGGTCTTTTCAAGCCTCGGTAGCCCTATCAGTGCCTGCAGACGTTCAGCCTTGGGGTTTCCTTCCACTGCTGCATTTATCTGGGATCAGGTCTCCAAACGCTGGCTGGGTTTCTCCTTCGGGCCAGAAAACCCACGCCTCACCTCCGTCGGTTCTGTTCCAGGGCGCACAGAGCGGTTTTAAAGCCCTGCTGGGCTGGGGCAGGCTGAGGATCTGTGGGGAAACAGGACACCTGGGGGTTTTCCTCTTGAGCTAACCTCCACCTGACGCTGGGTTCACCCCACTGCTGGAGTCCTTTGAGCCAAGGCTTTTTACATGAAATCGGTTCAGTGTTTAAGGACAGGAAAACTCTCAGGGGTGTGCACATTCACATCGTTGAGCGCAGGGCACCTTGACAAGGGCTTGAGTTCTTAGCCAGGCAGGCGCCCACTATGGAAACACAAGGGAGGCCACTGGCACCTGTCCAGACTGGAAGGACCAAGTCGGGGAAGGGGTGGGGAGGTGTTCTGTGCTTGCCTGGCCCACTTGGCTGGCCTTGAACATGGCAACAGGTTCCAGATGGTAGAAATGGAGCAGACTGGAAATCCTAAGCTGGTGCAGGGTGGGCAGGGTTTGGTCCTGGGCTTTGTCTTCCGGTTTTGCAGACCTGAAGTCTGGCAGTGGGGGTGGGGGTGCCAAGTCCAAGGCTCCAGGGTTATTGCCCAGAACAAGTGCGTCGACCAGCTGCTCAGTCCCCTAGACGAGTGACTGAAACCGAGATTGTAGCTTGGGCACTGCTGCTGCATCCGGCCCCTTTGGGCAGCTGCTAACGATGACCCTGCAGCCCTGCTCCATTCCTTTTGCTCAGACTTGGCATCACTCTGCCCTTGGTCCAGGGCTGCAGCTTCTGTGCACCAGCAGTTGGTAGGCGGAAGGTGTGAAGTCATGAGTTTTGGGATTTGGGCCCAAGGTACCCGAATGACCTCGACCTCCATCCCTCAGCCTGGCCATCCTTCCTTGACCTCAGCTCACCCCTGGAGGTTCAGGAAACCATCCAGATTCCAAACAATGGGAACACACCCCTGCTGGTGGACGTGCAGGTGTTTGCAACAAATGTGTTTAATGTGGTAAGCGTCCTCAGGCTGAGGAGGGGGTGAGGCCCAGGTGCTGAGCTGGGAATGGGAAAGGACTCAGTCCCTGGACTGCTGTGGTCCCCTGCCTTTTGTCATGCAGCAGCCACCCCTAGGTGATGTGCTGCCCCCCCTTCCCCAGGACATCCTTCAGTATAGTGTCCTCCATGTGACTGCTCCGGCTGCTGGGAGCCCACAGAGTGGAGGTGGCAGGGTGGTGAGTGCGAAAGGGTGGAGGTGAGCAGGAGGACCCGCTCTCGGTCCAGCTCAGAAGCACCAGCTTGTGTTAACCTGCTGCACCAAGAGGCACATATTTATGAAGAGCCAGAGCCCTGGTGGTGTCCTTGTGTCCCCAGCCTGGGTGGACACTCGCCTGGCCTGGAACAGGGGTGTGCACCCGCGGCGCATGCTTACACTGCCCTGGGACGCCGGGACTCACAACCCAGGAGGTGTGAGGGAGGCGGGAGTTCTAGTCCCAGGAGCCACCTTGTGGGCCCCCGTCTCTCCACCTGCAGCATGGAGGTCCTTGTAGCGAGTCCCCTCTCCTGGAAGACCCCCAGACCGCTGGCATACGCCACTCCTCACGTTCCCTCTCCCTTTTAGAGCCCTGAGGGCCAGGGGTGGCAGCTGGGCACCTGCCCGAGTCTCCCCCAGCACTCCCTTTGGAGAGGGGCTGGGCGCCCGGCTGTGGCACCTTCCTCCACAGGTTCCGGGGGGACTGGCAGGACCAGAGCCTGCAGGTCCAAGTGGGCCAAGATGGACACGTTGCGCTCCACCTGGCTCTCACCTCGGAGACCAGCTGCGACTTTGAGCTCCTCTGCCTCCCCAGGGACCAGGGCAACGGCACCCTCAGCCTCTGTGCTCTTGGCAACACCGGTGCTGTGTGCACGGAGCAGTGGTGGGGGGTGAGGGTAGACGGAAGGGGGGCCTCTGGCTTTGGGCCCATGTCTGACCCGGGATGGGGGCCTGTGTTCCCACCAGTTTACCCCCGGGGTTCGAGCCACTGAACCAACTCGGGGCAGAATGAGCATTTCACTCGCACCTCTCATCTCCCATTGGACGGCCGCCATCTCCCAGCCCCGCCTCCCCTCCCCACCCCCCAGCTACAGCAAAGCAATGACCCTGAGAGCCAGGGCCCGACTGCAGCGCCCAGGCCATCGGAACACTCTGCAGGCGCAGCCTCCCAGGAAATACCCCACAGACCTGTCAGGTCTCATCCTTCCCCCCCATCCCTCTCTCGGAAACACCACAGCTCCTGCCCCGCGAACCCGGACATTTCAGACGTGAGACAAGACACTGGTGGCTGAGTCCACGACCCCTTCCCCTCTGTTAAGTGGTGCAGAGTGCCTTTATTTTTACAAGGAAAACTCATCCACGATTCTGTAAAGGCCCTTCTTCTAATTGGAGAAGACTCAGCAGGGGGTGTGAATTCCAATGTGGGAAGCCCCCGTGGACCAGTTGCACCTCCCAGTCCTCCCCTCCTCCTCCTCCGCCGCAGCCACCAGGAGTCTCCGCTGTCCCTGGGCACCAACTTGTCCCTGCTCCTCCTCCCAAGAGTGACTCGGGATCTGCATATCTCTTAGCTCACCGTTCCCACCCCACCTCTCCAGACGATGGGGCTGGAGTCCCAGGCCCACATGGGGAATGAAACTGTCAAGAGGGACTACATGGTTTGTGGTTCGGGATTTGAAAACCCAAGCCCCACCGCAGCAGCTGGTGCCCAGCTCCCGGGTGACAGTGAGTTGGGAGGAGGCTGGCAGAGGGCTGCAGAGGCATTCAAGAGGCGGGGCCAGGGGCAGGACATCACCTTTCTATCGCTGCACGTCCCCCAGAAGCCCCTCTTCCTCCCACTTGCACCCACAGAACACAGCACTAAAGGCCGCGGCAGCACTGCTGCTGGTGGGCGCAGGGGCTGCGGCCCCTCCAGGCCGCGGCGCACACTGCCTGCCCGTGGCCTGCCACTGGGCTGCCCCAACCCGCTCTCCTCCCTGGCGCTTACCCCGCCCGGCTCCTCCCCCTGCAGCCCTCTGCTCAGTAAGCCCTGTGCCCTCCCTGCTTCTCCCTCTTGGGGCAGTTCCCTGGGTGCTGGGGGCCCGGGCCTGGCCCCGCCCTCCCGTTTACTACCTCGCCCTCCCGCCACTGCCGCTCTTCCTCAGCATCACAGAGTGTCCTGATGGCAGGGCGCTGGCCCGGGCCATCTGGGGCCAAGAATAGCCCCAGCCCAGCCGCAGGAGGCGGGCAGCACGACCGTGGGGATGCAGGGCCTAATCCTGAAGGTGGGCAGGGGCTGGTGCCTTCCTGGGGGTGGGGAGGGTCAGAAACGAGGCCAAGGGCAGGTCCGATGGGGCTGGGGGCCGCTGGGCTATTGGGAGGCCCCACTGGCCCTGGGCTCCACCACATACGTCCTTGGAAACAGCGGGTCTGGAGCAGGGAGCAGGGTTAGCTTCCCCGGAAGCCTGGGTGACTCCAACCTCCCCGAGATAACCCTGTGCCTGCGGAGCCTTTCCAGGGGGATCTCCTTCAGCTCCAGGTGGCCCAGGATGGGCCAGATCCACACACTCGCTGGCTGTGAATCCTTGGAAATGGGAATACGGCTGACAGCCCCGGGGCTCGCTCTTCCGCCCTGGGGGCGGGGTGAGCCCTGAAGTACAGCTCCTTCCCTTGTCCCTCCCCCACAGGAGCCACCTGAGGAGTAAGGGGGTTCTGGGGGAGCTGGGCTGAGGCTGCCGGCCACCCCTTCTTCCTGCTGTATGTGGTGGGGTGGTGTGCAGCCAGTCCATCTTCCTTGCACTTTGTATGTAGGGGATGTGCAAGCTTGGCCCAGCCCCCCACGGGGCCCCACCCCGCGGTGGCAGCCTAGGACCTGACATGGCAGGGCCTGGGGCTGCAGGCCTGAGGGAAGGCCGGGCAGGGTCTCTGGAAAGAGGGGAGGTCAACTCTCCCCTGAGCCTGGAGGACCCTGGGTCTCCCTGAGCTCTCCCTTCTACTGGCCCGCAAGAGATGAGTGTGTAATAAACCCACTGCCGAAGCGCAGCGTGGGGTCTGTCTGCATTGAGCTCAGCTGTTTGCTCTTGTCCTATGCAGGTGGGGCCCACTCAGCCCCCAACCCCGACCCCACTCCGGAACTCAGCAGTGGCCTCCAGTCACCCAGCCCCCCACCCCTGCCCCGCCTAACTGCTCTCCCTGCGACCACTGCTGCTTGGCCCTGGGCCAGGAGGCACTGGGGACCAGGAGGCAGGGGCCTGAGAGTCGCGCAGGGCGGTGAGAACTCCTCTGAACAGCTGCAGGGTGCCGGCCCCGGAGGGAATGGAGCGCACGCACTCCTGGGACGGAACACCTCACCCAGCCTGCGGACGGCGGTGGGGAATGCGTTTCTGCAGTAATTTCGAGCGCAGGTCAGTGCTGCTCGTGTCCTCTCTGGCCGCCTGGCTGCCAGGGGTCTGAGCTGAAGAGGGCGGTGCCCTGCCCCGACTCATGGGGGCAGGCGGCGGGGCTGTCCCGCCCCCTGTTCTTGTGCTCCCCAGGCAGCTCCGGGCACAGGCCTTTGTCTTCCTCTGTCTTTTCCTGTCTTGAAGCCATCACCTGGCCCCTGCAGGCTGTGCTAGGGACACCAAACCCAAGGTGTGCAGGAAGCCCAGTGCTTAGCAGAGCGCTCTGGTGGGGAACAGGGGCTGCGGGAAGAAGCGCAGACCAGGACTCGAGGGTCCAGGGACAGGGCACCTGGCCCGGGCAGTGAAGAAACGTCCCTGTCCCAAAGGACATCAGACTCACCCGGCCCAGAGGCAAGTTAACATGGGTTTATGTGTCCGAGAGCACGCTGGTCTGGTGCAACCAGGCAGGGACAGGAGCCGGTTCAAGCGGAGGTGTCGAAGAGGCGGTCGATCATGTCGCCGACCTGCTCCACGCGGTACTTGATGTACTTCTCAGGGTTCTTGGTGAAGGGCACGCTGCTATACCTGACCGGGCACTGTGGTCAGCGGGGAGGCCTAGCCCCTCCGCTGCTCCTCCTCAGCCTCAGGCCCTCCTGACGGGGATGCCCCTGGGTGACGCCCCACCCGGCCCGACACGAACGCCCAGGGCGCTGGGTCTGCCACGCAACCCGCCACCTGCTCCGTGTTTTCCTGAAGAGAAGCACAGAGCGTGAGCCGGGGGGCGGGGAGCGCAGGGCTCACCGGTGCAGGAAGGCCCCGTAAGTCTCCTTGACAATGTGCTTCTGCGCTTGGCGGATCTTGTCCCTCTGCTCTGTGTCAGGAATAGCCCAGGCTTTCTGGATCTTGCACAATTCTTCGAGGCCATCATTGAAGCCCTGGCCACCAAAAAGGTGGAAAAAGAATCAAATGTTTGAGTCTGTGTCGCTATAGCAGCAGCAGTGGCTGGCAGCAGAGGGGATGGATCCCAACTCACCTTAAACCGCTCCTTGATCATCTGCCGCTCCTTGTCCCGGAGCTAGGGGCCCAGAAAGCTTTCCTCAGAGCAGCTCGCCCGCCCCGCTCCCTCCCCAACCGCCTGCGCCCAGTGCCCAGGCCTCGCTCCTGCTGTTCTGATGGCCACAGGCATCCTCGCCCTTGCCTCCCTGGGGCCTCTTGTCCTTTCTCCCCAAGAGACATGACAAAAAGTATCTCGTCTGCCAGACACCCTTTCCCAGCCCAGGCCTTCAGCCCACCTTGACTCCAGGTTGGAACACAGGTAGGTTCTTCTCCGAGATGTAGTCGGTCACCTTTAACCAACTGCCAGGAGGGGGAGGAAGCAGAGGGCAGCGGAGGGGCGGCCTCAGGCTGCTGCCTCTTCGGGCAGGTTAGTTTGTTTTTTAAATCTCTTGATCTACTAAAGGGCAGTGGGGAGGGTAGGAATCGATCTGGGTCACAACTAAGCAAAAGACAACTGAGATTTTTCCTTGGGAGTAGAAAGTGTTGGGAGATGCTTGCTTTTAAAATCAAGAACAGAGCATTCAATAAATAGCACAAATAGTACCATCTCTGCTTCACATCATAGCACACAGATCTATGCTCACAACAGCGCGGGAGACTAAAATGGAGAAGCAGATGAGCAGGAAAGGAGCGGCAGAGGGCGGACATGGGGAAGGAAGAGGAAGGAACTTTCGGGGCAAGAGACAAAAGAGACACACACAGACCCGAGGCAGAGGAGGGAGCTCTGCAAAGCGATGCTCAGCCAAGTTCGAGCGCTCCTGCCACCTTGCTCTTCACTTGGCCCAAACACGCCCACACCTTTGACAGGCAGCCCTCAGTCCCTACCCGGCTTTGCCTTCGGTGGGCAGACCACAGCCTCCGAGAAAGCAAGTGAGGGGCGGGGGGCAGGGCTCCCACTGCCACCCCACGAGTGTGATTATAAAACAAGAGGACTGGGGTCCACAGGGCCCCAGCTCCCCATTATTGGTCCCACTCCCGCTGGGCCCAGCATCCTAAGACTTTGAGAAGGGCACATGCATTGCAGGTATAGGCGTGGAGGGAGCAGAAGGGCCCGCCTCTCACCTGCGCTGGTAGGTCTGGATCTGCTGCTCGATGTGCTCCCTGTAGGAGCGCTCCGCAGTCTTCTGGGTCACGGCCACCAGCTGGATCAGCTCAGACCTGGGGCAGGGGCGGGGACAGAGCAGAGGGGGCGGAATTGGCTCCTAAGGCCCACAGGCCCCAGGCCCTGGGGCAGCAGCTCCAGCGGGGCCTGCCCGTCCCAGCCAACGCCAAGAGCTCTCAGAAGGCACTGCTCATGCCCCCTGGATCCGGGGCAGTGACACGCTGCCCACCCCACCTGGACACACAGAGGGCACAGGCAGCTGCAGGAGGGCTGCTGACCAGCACCCGCGGTCACCTACTTCTCCAGGGCCTTGAGGATGTAGTTGTAGTTGTTGTGTAGGAAGATGGCGCTCAGAGCTGGGTCCTCGTACACCTTGGATTTGCTCAGCAAGTTCAACTGCAGGTTGCCCAGGACTTTACCTGCACAGGGAAAGATGTGGCCACGCCCATGTGGCAGTGTGGCCACAATGACCCAATCCCAGGACCTGCAAACCAAGCCCTGTCCCTCCTGTCCCTCCCTGACCCCAGACTCCACAAGCCTTAGAAGCCCTCTGTCCAGCCCCTCTGCCCCAGAGCCAGAGGCTAGGCTGAAATTCCAAAGGTCGAGGGGCTCAGAAGCGTGGCCAGGGTAGTAGGAGACCCAAAAAGGAGAGGATGGGAGAGGCAGGGAGGGGCCATGGCTGCGGGTGGGCGGGCAGAGCGCACTCACAGATATAGGTGCTCAGGAGGCGCTTGCTGAACTCGGAGTTGTAGCTGGTGGCCGAGGAACTGGTCTCTGCGGGGGAGGAGAAGTCCTGCTACTGCAGCCGCTGCGGCTGCGGCTGCCACCCTCACTCGCCTTCCCTTGGCCCAGGGGCAACTGAGGTCACACTCCGGGGTGGGGGGAGTCTCTGAGCCTGCCTTCCTCTGGCTGACAGGACAGAAAGGAGCTCGGGGCCTGGCTGGGGCTCTGCTCAGCTCCCGGGCTTGCAGCCCGCTGCACGGACCATTCCCTTGAGCTCCTTCTGGAAGCCGGAGCAGGCCCCTCTATGGTGATTGGGCAGCCCATGATCAGCAGGAAGTCTGGCAGGACAGGACTGGGACACCCCCTGGCCCTCCAACGCTGACCCATGCTGGGTGGTATCTAAGGTCCGCCTTTCCCATTTGTCAACAGCAGAGTCAGAACAGGCTCCCATGGCCTCGCCCCTTCCCCCCTTCCCCCCACCTCCTCGGCCATGCCCTGCTGAGCAGCGGGAACCTGCCTACAGAGTGGAAGGCCAAGGCCAGGGACTGGAGGGGCAGGCAGGTGCTAGGCTGGGCTGGAAGGTGCAGGCGGGTGCTGGAGACAGCGGGACGCTGCCAGGGTGACCGCAGAGGCAGACAGTGGCTGTGAGGGGGCCGAGAGCTGGAGGGACCCATGCCCCCACTCCCCAAGTGGTCCTGAGTCTGTCCGGTGGCCTGTCCCCAGGGAACCTCAATCACAGGGCTTCAAAGGGGAGGGTGGGGCTGCAGAACCCTGCTGCTTACCTCGGGGGTCTAAAGGAATATTGTATGTGTCCCCAAGAACTACGGAGTGAAAGGCAATGCGCAGAGGGGAAGGAGGGGAGACAAAGACGGGAGAAAAGTGCAAAGTGCAAAACAGGTTAGAAACAGCTGTGCCCTCCCAAGTCATGCTCCCCACGACAGCCAGAGCCCAGAGAGCAGCGCGCTGCAGGCCCGGCCTGCTGAAGACCAGGGGACACCAGGGCGCTGGGCCTGCCCCAGGGCTCCTCACCCCAAACGGGGGCAGCAGGCAGGGCCTGGGCCCAGACACGCTGGGCTGGGCCTCAGCGCCCGGATGACTGGAAATGTGTGCGCCCTCCCGCGCCAGCCTCAGGAAGCCCCCGGGCTGGCCCGACAGCCAGCCCCTGTGAGGGTCAGCGGCGCGAGGCTCACTGGGGGACAGGCACACGCAAGCGGAGGTGAAGTCGGACAGAGGACGGGGCAGGAGGGGCACCTCCAAACATGCAAACGGGAGCCCCAGGGCACAGGTCGGTCAGGAGAGCCAGTGGAACCCCGCCCTCCCGACGCTCAGCCCGGGGCCCGCCGGCCGGATGTCCCGCCACAGGCCGCGTCTCCGCCCCACTCTACAGGCTGGAGGAAACCTCACCGGAGGGGGCCTAACATCACATCTCCAGGCAAAGGGAGGGGAGCAGGGGCTGGGGGCCCCGCTGGGAGGCGCCAAGTACCTTGGGAGGCCAACATGGCGCCCGCCGTCTCCTGGAAGTCCAGGAGCTGCTGCAGGAAGAGGATGGCCTGTGCAAGAAAATGGGTCCCAGGAGGTCAGGGCAGGACCCAGAGGTCAGGCCTCCCCGCACAACGTGCCCCCCGGACCATTCCAACACGTGCAGGGGCTGCCCGGTGAAAAGGGTGGATATAAACTTCGTGTTTCCCACTTTGGGTTTGGCCTGTGAGGGAAGGCTCAGTCTGCTGGAGGGGCTAAGCCTTCACGGTCCTGTCCTGGTGGCTCTGGGCAGCCCCCGATCCCAAGCGACTGAGGGCGGGACCTACATTGCTTGTGAGCTCGTGCACTGTGCCATCCTTGGGCATGTTGTACTCCTTGTCCGGGTCATTCTGTGGGGAAAACAGCGAGACTCCCTGAAAGAGCTCCCAGAAGGCCTCGAACCCACCCCCAACACCAGTCAGTCTGCTCATGGTGCCACCTCCTGGCAGACAGGTGTCAGGACACCCTGAAGGCACCAGGGTGGGTGGATGAACATGCCAGTTAAGGGCGGGCAGGAGCCTCAGGCCTGGAGCCCCCAGAAAGAAAGGGAGGCCATAGGTGCCAACAGAAGACTCCCTCTGGCAGGCTGCCCCACTTGAAATCCTACTTTCTGAGCAAGTCCCTCAGCCAGGTCACCAGCGGCCCTGCCCACAGTGAGCTGGCCGGCGCGGCGGTGGGAGGGGGAGCACCTTGATGTTGTCAGCGAAGTCCTCCAGCGCCTTGGCGCCAACTGTCTCCATGGAAGCGATGAGGCTGGGCAGCTTGTTCTTGGTGCTGGCGGCCGTGCCCTGAGGCAGCACACAGCCACATGGAGGGCGGGCAGAGCCCGGCCTGGGGCCGCCGCACACACACTGTGTGCGCCGCCCCGCCACTCCCCGCCCCGCCCCCCAGGGAAGCCTCGTCTTCTCTCAGAGCACCTGTGAGTGGCTGCCGGCCACCCTCTTCACCGAGGTGAGTGGCAGAGAACGAGGTTTCTGTGGGAGGCCATGCCGGGCAGGGCAGCAGGCTCCCCCCAACCCCCGTGGCCCCAAAGGCTCCCCTCCCACATACCTGGAGCACCTGGTCAACCTCGGGCTTGGCCTGCTTGAGGTGCCGCAGGACGGGGAAGACGGTGAGCACTGCGGAGAAGTCGTGTCTTGCGATGGCCTTCCGGGCAGCGGACACGATATTCTCCCCCTCAAGCATCAGCCCATCCAGTGCGTCCTGAGAGGGGCAAGGGCACAGCTCAGGATGGGGGCAGGGTGGTGACAGCTGGCTCCCAGGGACAGTGAGGGCACCCGATGGGGCGTCAGGGAAGCCAGTGTGCTTCTGATGGGGAGGTGCCAGCCGGGCGCGCCACCAGGGTAGACCCCCAGGGCGTAAGGTGGCTGCGGTGGCTGTGTTTGAGGGCCCCTGACAACAGGCACGGCCCCAGCTCAAGCTTCTGCACTGACAGCTTCTGCCGTGGCAGCCGGGCCCCGGGGCAGGGCAGGACCTGGATCAGGGAGTCGAAGGTCTTCTTCTGGTGGTGCTCAGGGATGACCTCCGTCAGCAGCTGGTACTCGCTCTGGGCCAGCTTGACGAAGGCACTGACGCAGTGGATGTAGGCGTCGGTCTCCACGTCCAGCATGTCGTCTCTCCCTGAGGGGCGGCAGTGCCCTGAGCCGCTGGGCGGGGACAGCCCTCTCCCTGTTTGGGGGGCGTGGGCCTCCCAGCCCCTGGCCCGGCGGGTGGCACGTGGGGAGGGCTGTGCCGTGGGCAGCTGAGGACCAGCAGGCCGCGCCGGGCTGAACCCAGCCTCTGTCCTTGCTTCGCCTTCAGCACCGCCGGGGCAGCACTTACGTCCCAGAGCGCCAGGCGCTGGGCGCGGTGGGAGACGGCAGCAGGGTAAGGGGGCAAACTTCCCCGAATGGGCTGCCTGGATGGGGCTTGTCCAACCCCAGGACCGAGGGCCCTGGACTGTGCTGGAGAGCGGGCAGCCAGGGACGGGCGGGAGGCAGCGTCCACGTCAAGGAGGCAGCACCCTGAGACCGTCACGCACTCAGCAGTGCCGAGACTCCAACAACGCCGGGTCTGCGAGGGCTGCTCCCAGCCCAGGCAGGCCTTCGGGAACATGGAGAAAGGCCGTGGGCTAGGGCCTGTGAGACTAGCCGGCATGGGGTTAAAATCTGAGGGGCAACATGAGCCCGAGAGAGGGAGGGCCCTTTGGAGGAGACTGGATCCCTCTGCTACAGGCTGGGGCAGGGGCACCAGCAGGCAACCTAGTTCTATGAGCCAAGGGCTGGATCCCGGGAGCTAGAGCTTTGGTGGGGCTCCCTGCCCTCGAGAGGCCGCCTTCCGTCTCTGCCTGCCTTCCAAGCAGAGGCAACCTCGCCCCTGGCCCGGGCCCTGAGAGCCAGGTGCACACTCCCTCCTGGAGAGAGGCAAGGAGGCCTGGTTCCCAGAAGAGTGAGAGACTGGAAAGAGAAGGAGGTAGGTCTGGCCCATCCTCGAAGCAGGGGGCCACCTGGGCTCTCTGGTGGCGGCTGGGAGGGCGGCGGCAGCGGTATCCACCAGCCAGCGGCCCGCTTGTCATTTGGGGCCTTGGACAGCTTAACTCGGAAATGCTCGTGACCTAGCAAGAAGTTGGCCGCACAAATACAAGCAGCATTTATCCAGGGGCTGGGCGGGCCGGCCTGGGGGGACTAGGAGGTAGCCCTTGGTCTCCAGGAGGGGTGTAAGGTGGGCTGTCGGGGAGGGGACACTTGAGAGGGCTCTGAGCCCCTCCCCTGCCTCAGGCTGCCTTAGGAACAGCCGTTTCAAGCCTGACTCGCGGGGCTCCGGACCCCCATCACGGGCTGGTCTCCCCAAGCCCGGGCCGGGGGAAAGCTGTGAGGACCAGCGGCGGGTCTGAAGGGCTCTGGCAGCTGCAGGAGCTGATGCTCAGCCCCAGGAGTCATCTCACCATGTGTGGGGAGAGACCCGGTTAGAGAAATGTCACTGCTGAGTGCATGGGGACAGCCTTCTGCTTGTCCCCCAGCATCACGCTTGTGAAGGAGGGTTACGTCCTCCAGGGTGGGGCTGTCTCTCCTCTTACAGGAGAGAAGGGACATGGCTGACCAGTTGCCTGTCGCCTTGCTGCACACATACCCCGCTTCTAAAGTTGGAGGTTGGGGAGGTGACCAGGAGGCCTAGGCCATCTCGGTCCTGCCACTGCCGGTCTGAGCGTGAAAGGGCTGCCCATGGCAAAGAACTTTCTCTGAGTTCCAACAGGAGACAAGGACAGAGACAAGGAGGGGAGGGAGTGGGGAGCCTCAGGGAGGGCAGAGCTGCCGTCCGCCAGATAGGACCAGGCCAAGGCCAAGGCCACAGCCAGGGCACGAAACCTGTCCCTGCACCAGCTGGGGGGAGCGGCACAGGGACCCGCAGTCCCCACCCCTGGTCCCCTCTCAGGGTTCCTCCCGAGGCCCTCCTGGGGGGCTGCAGGCTCTGCCCTGCCTCGGGAGTGAACACACGGTGGAGGAGGGGGAGCAGGAGAGGAACACGGGGTGATTACCTTCCAGAGGAATGAGGTTAGAGCCCCCCTTTTTCCCATCTAGACCATGCTGGGAATACTGTTTCAGAAGGTTCTGAGCCTTACGGATCGTCCCTGTCACCAGAGCCACACAGAGAGGAGGTAAGAAGACCTAGGAAACGAGTGAGAGAAAACAGCAGCGGCCCCGCCTCGGCCAGCCCGGCCCCACGCCCGGCCTCCCGTCACTGAGCAAGCCCTGGCACGACCTCCCCCAGCAGATCCCACCCCGGGCCACGGGGACCCTGCCGATGGAGATGAAGGAACGGACGGCCCCCAAAGGGGGCCTCCTGGCCCTGCTTTGGCCCTCATCATTCCGGTCCTGAGCTCTTTAGGATAGGCAGAGGGTGAAGGAGGTGAGGGGCAGAGGTCCACCAAGAGAAGCCAAAGTAGAAAGTCCTCCCAAGTGGCCTTGAGGTGACAGTAAACGAGGGCTGGCGGGGAGGAGCTGGGAGACGGAGCCCTCACCCCCACGGGGCAGGACCCGGGCAGAGCTCGGGAAGCCTGCAGAGACCGCCAGGCAGAGCTCTGGAGCATGCTCAGTGTCTGCAGGGAGCGACACAGTAGTCAGCAGAAAGCAGCTGGGAGCTGGAGAGACAGGAAGCGCTCTGGGAGGCAGCCTGGCCCCACGTCCTACAGCGAAGCTCCCCACGCCGCACAGCACCAAAGCAATGGGAAAATCTCAAAAGCTGAGCGGGGTGAACAGAAGCCACCTCACAGAGAGCGGAGAGAGGGCAGCAGGAAAGGGTACATGCTCTTGCACAGAAAAAAAACAATAGTGTCACAAGTAAACACAATGCAAACACAACTGCAGCGCCCCAGCCTGGGGTCAGCCCCCTCTGCAGGCCGAGACACCTCAGGGCAGCAAATGTGGGGAAATAAAATGGCATTTCAAACCGGCGAGCACAGCTGCCTTGTGCTGGGAGAGGGGGGGCACCCATAAGTGTAACCCTGGCCCCGTTCCCTGGAGGCTCCTGGGTCCCACCCCCTGAATCTCAGAGCAGGGCGAGGCCACTGGAGTCCTGGACACGCCCCGCAAAAGGCGAGGCAGAGTGAGAGGGGCCAGGTCTGGAGGGGCTCGTTCCTTTCCGTTGGCACCGCCGTTGGCTACGGAGAGCTTCAGGGCCCCAGCTGAGCACCTGCCTCCCTGTGCTCCCGCTAATGGCAGGTCAGGTCCCTGCCGCGCAACGGACCGGGAGCAGGTGGGCCCGCGGACCCTCCACGCCCAGCCAGCACACTGGCCTGGCCATGACCCGGGCTGCGCACCCGGCCATTAGGCACCCGGTCACCACGGCCGGGAGCCTGGTGTCTCATCACCACCAACCGAGCCTCCCGGCTCCGCTCCCCGAGCCAGGAATGGAGGTCCCCAGGAACAGAGGTCCCCGGGCCCGGTTCCCTGGTCCCCACCTCAGTGCTGAGTCCACCAGCTCCTGACAGCTCTTGAAAACTCACAGAAACCAGAGGGACCCTCCCGGATGGTTTTCCTCCTGGGTCTACAAGCCAAGGATGGATTCGCTCCTGGGTGAGCGCCCTCTCCTGGAGGGCCCTGTCCTTGCACGGCCAACCAGCACTCCTGGGGCAGAGCCCTCCAGGCCCTGGGGCCTCCAGGGGCTGCTGGAGATGGGACTGAGGGGAAGAGGGCATGGACCACCGAGGCCCAGGCGGCCTCCCAGGCACAGCCTGGCTGGACACACAGAGGCACAGAGAGGGGCCGCCTGCATGGGGCAGCCGCAGCCGGACAGGCTGGCACCGCGAACTCACAGGTCCCGGGATGGGTGGCCAGGGCACCCCACTGGAGGGGGGATGCAGTGCGCTTCCTCCCAGGGCCACCTGGCCCTCGGTGCTCCCCCTGTGCAGCCCCCAGGGCAGCCTCTGCTCTGCCGTCCTGTCCCGCCCCCGCGCCCCATACCCGGGACAAAGGCGCCCTGTGGGGTGTGAACGGACACCGAGGGCCGGCAAGACTGCAAGCTCGGCACCCAGCCTGCTGCCGTGAGGGGCGGGCCCCAGAGGCCACGCCAGCCGCGGCAGCACCTCAGCAGCCGGGCTGCACCACACTTGCCAAGCTACAGCGACAGGAAGGGTCGCTGTTGACCAGCACAGACCACAGTTAGCTCCTGATAACCAAGTAGCCACGGAAGGACGTGATGACTGCGAGAAGGACAGTGAGCTGCTCACCCAGGGCACCAACAGCACCTGGCCCAGGCCTCTCCCTGCTCAACACCCCTCTCTCGACTTCCCCACCCAAAGGCCCGAACTTCGCAGTGCAGCCTGGCAGCCAGAGGGACTTCCTTGGGGCGGGGAATGGGCTGAGACTTCTTCCTTTCTGGACTGACGGAAAGTGTCAGCTGTCCCCTCTCAGCAATATGCCACTTCAAGCCACCCTGGCCTTCTGGAAAGTGAAGGCTGCCCCTGTCCCATCCCACGGTCATGGCTGCAGCAGCACGCGAGCCTCCCGATGGGATAGCGGGGGAGGGAAAGGGGCCCAGCGAGTGGCTCTGCCGTGGCACCCGGCACCCTGCCCCCCATCTGTGACTCCCCTCCCGACTCCAAAGACCCCGATGTGACCCCCAGACTCTGCTGAGTAGAAGGGAGAGCCTCGCTGGATGGGGGCCTCGATGGGTGAGCAGACACGTGCCTCCCGTCCCGCGCACCTGCAGCTGGGGCTACTCCGAGGACAAGCTCCGGAGGGGCCGACGCGGCTACGGCCAGGGTGGCCGACAGCAGTCCAGGGCCCACGCCGCCTTCGGCTGGCGCTTCCAGGCCGGCGCGGGGACTCACCTGGCCGCTTGACGGGCTTCTTGGTGGGCGTGTCTTTCCTCTTGCTGGGGATGGCTGGGGAGTAGGGCACCCCGGAGGCAGAACTGCTCTTCCGGAAATGCTCCCGCAGGCCCTTGATGGAGCGGTCCAGCTGGCTGGAGCGGATTTGGTAGTAGACGTTCATGAAGTCTGAGGAGAGACGGGGCGACAGGGCTGTGGCGGCCAGCCTGGGGCCCTGCCTGCCCCTCTAGACCAGCTCCGCGGGGCGGTGGTGGCGCCCGCTGATTCTTCTTGCTGACTCTCCCCTAGCACCCGCTCCTGCTCACAGCCACCCACAGGGCCTCATCTCGAGTCGGGCAGACTCTGAAAAGGGAAAGCATCCCCCAACAGAACGGATCATTTTTAAGTTCTCAAGCCAATTTTTTTTTAAGATAAAAAATATAAAGCTAACATCCAGATTCAACTTGGTAAGGAGTCAAAGGATGTGAACAATTTATAGGAGGCAAAGAGACAACTAATGTCAGTGAATGAAAAACCCACCCTATTTTTAGCCATTGACAAAGTGAAAATCTTTTTAGAATCTGAGGAGCCCTGGCTGCTGTGGCTCAGTGGGCTGAGCGCTAGCCCGTGAACTGGTGGGTCGCCGGTTCCATTCCCAGTCAGAGCACATGCATGCGTTGCAGGCCAGGACCCCGGTAGGGGTCACATGGGAGGTGGCTGATCAATGTGTTTCTCGCACATTGCTGTTTCTCTCCCTCTTCTTCTCCCTCCCTCTTTCTCTAAAAATAAATAAGACCTTCAAAAAAAGATCAGAGGACTGTGAGCTCTAATGAAGAACAAGTAACTGTGACAGCTCTAATGAAGAACAAGTAACAGAGCTGTCACATGTCCCCATCTACCTGGAGAGGAACTCGCTACCTAATTGCACCTTTGATAAAATACCCTAAAGAATTCCCTAAATAAGAAAAGCAATTCACACAAGTGTGCTCAGAGCAACGCTCCTTATCAGAACTGATAAGCTGGGAAACCCCAAAATGCAATTGAGCATGGAAAAGGGGGGACCCCTGGGGCATTTCAGCACTTCCCCACAAATGTGTCGCGAGGAACCCCACTGTAGAAAATGGGCTGGAGCACAGAGGCTGTCTGAAGGGTGAAGAGGAGTCTGGAGGCGTCCGCTGGCCTCCCTCTTATCCAAGAAGGCGCCTGACCTAGACCTAGACAGCCCCCCAGCTCAGCACACACGCCATGACATGTTTATGCGGTTGGTGCAGGGCGGTCCTGGGACCTGCCACCAGGCGGTCCTCACGGGAAGGCAGGGAGGACGGGAGTGCACACCGAGAACGTGGTGTGCGCGCACGCTAACAAGAGGAAGAGCACAGAGAGCTAAAAAGCTTAAAAGTAAATATTCATTGGAATTTTTGTTTCCTAAAATATTTAATTCACGATTTTTTGTTCTTAATCCGAGGGCTGGCTAAAGAAATGATGGCACTGCCACACCATGGAATATCGTGTGGACATTAAAAAAAAAACAAAGCAAACGTGCGCGCGCTGCCATGGAGCAGCCCAAGGCCTCTCACAGGTTACAAACCGCGAACGCCCGCGGGGCGGAGTTCGGCACACGGCCATCCACTGGGGAGCGAGGGCAGGGCACACGGGCGCACACTCTCACTCACATCCCCTCCGCTGCAGGGGCCTCGGGAAGGGTGTGACCCAACCGTAACAGCGCTCGTATCTGGGCCATAATGTTGTGGGCATCCAGGAAGCGAGGAGGCGGACCTTTGCTTTTCAGCTGAGGCTTTGTGTGCTACTTGAAAGTTTTACAATTAATCCAAAATAAGAGATAAAGAAACAGGAAAATAAGGTATGTAAAGAACAGCTTGGATTTGGCTAGACTCGGAATTTGATACACAAGCTGTAGATTTATTGCTATATTATTTCCTATTAAACTTTTTATTGAAAAGAAAAAACCGCAGGCGGATCAAAGAAATAAAGAGAGACGGGCCCGCGCAGGTCTCACCTTGGTTGCGTCCGTACTCCACCAGCCAGCGTGAGATGCGGACCACGTCCAGCAGCACGCCCTCGGGCAGGTGCTCAAGGGGCACCTCCTCCTGGACCTCCAGCTCCTCCTCGCCGCTGATCAGGTCCAGGATGAGCACAGGGGAGACGACCTTGCTGTGCCGGGTCATTAGGCTGCGGAACTCGGACTCTAGAGACTCCTTCCCGCGCTCAAACAGCAGCTTCTGCGGGAGCCAAGGGAGGGAGAGGGTCTGCTGCTGCTCCCACGCTCGGCTGGCCCTCGCCTCCCTCTCCTCGGCCTTCACTTCCTTTAACCCAGAGAGGAAATGCCAGGAAGGCTTCCTTGATTATATCTTTGCCTCGTGTTCTCACAAACTGTATGTTCACAGGTGGAACGCAGGGTTTTATAAGTAGATACTTCATGAATATTGGTGGATTATTTCCTCACTGCACTATTTGTCTTCTTGTTAGAAAAGGGTTTGCAAAATAAAAAAAATAGATACATTGAACTCTGCCACATTAGAAACATTTGTGCTGAAACTGATACCATCAAAAAAATGAAAAGACAACCCACAGAATGATAGAAAATATTTGCAAATCACATATTTGATAAGGGGATAAAGGGCAGGTATCCAGAACATGTACGAGAAGTGAAAACATGCGCACACAAAAGTGTGTACACGAGGGTTCACAGCAGCATTTTTCATCACAGCCAAAAGGTGGAGTGCCCGCCAAGTGAGGAATGGACACAGGCAACGGGGCCTAACCACACAAGGTGGCAACTGGCAACACAGAGGAGTGAGCGCTGATATGTACACACTACGACATGAACGAACTTTGCAAATGTTGAGAGAAAGAGGCAAGACACAAAAGGTCACTTAATTGTGTGATTCCACTGATACGAGAAGTCCAGGGAAGGCACATCTATAGAGGCAGAAGATGGACTAGTGATTATGGACTAAAATAGCCAAATCATAGAGACAGAAAGTAGAATGATGGTTGCCAGGAGCTGGAGGGAAAGGAGGAGGGGCTGGGGTTGAGCGGATAAGAGGCCCAGTCCGGGCTGATGAAGCTCCCTGGAGAGGAGGGTGGTGACAGCTGAGTGACCAAGGGGAGGGCCTGGGTGCCACCGAGCTGTGTGCTTGAAAATGGCTGAAATGTGGAGGGACCTAGAGAGGCCATCATGCTACGTGAAATAAGTCAGACGGAGGAAGGCAAGTGCCATATGACTTCACTTATACGTGGAATCCAAAAAAAAACCCAACAAACAAACCCCCAAATAAATGAACAAACAGACAGAAATAAATACATAGATACAGAGAACAAATTGGTCGTCGCCAGGTGGGAAGAGTCAGGTGAAAAAGGGAAGGGATTAAGAAGTACAAATTGGAGTTATAAAAATAGTCGCAGGGCCGTAAAGCACAGCACAGGGAATACAGATAGTACTATCGTCATAATTCCGCGTGTGTCAGAGGGGCGCAAACGCAGTGGGGCCATCACCTCGTAAGGGATGTAAATGTCTAATCGCGCCCTTGAAACTAATAAGATATCGCATGTCAACTGCAATTAAAAACTAAATTTTAAAAGATGGCTAAATTGATAAACTTTTACATTATGTACTTTTACCACAATAAAAAAACCACAAATGCATTTATAAAAATCAAATGTCAAATTATACTGTATATGTAATTTATAATTTACTTAAATTATACAAATGCAATAGAAACGTATACCCGCAACTCCTGAGGCAGAGGTCTTAAGGACTACGGTATGTGTACTGTATTATTTAGTCCTGTTTATCCCACTATACTCTCCTTCAAGCTGGTTCAGTCTCTCGTGAGACCAGGGCAGGGACTGGTGTCCCCAGACCCCTCACACCACCCTGCTAGCCCCTTACCACTTTGTTGAGCTCTGGGCTGTCTGGGCTATTGTCCTGGAAATACTCCACCGCCTTCTGAATCTTGGCCATGCTCGCCAGGTACTCTTCCAGCCTCCCTGTGGGGCTGGGAGGGAAAGGAGCCGTGTAAGCCGGCGGGTGGAAGGTGGAGAGGAGGACCAAGGGAACGGTATTTGGAAGGGGAAGGGTGAGCGCTGATACAGAGGCTCAAATATACACGTATTCTGCCCCTCCCTTCCAAGGCCGAGGGCCGCCGGTCCAGGAGGCATTAAGAATGTGACCCTCTGGCCCTAGCTCACCCCTCCCTGATGATCTTCTCCGTGTCACTGGCCACATGGTAGTAGCTGATGACGTGGTCCAGGCAGGACAGAGTCTTCTCAACATTCTCCTGCAGCCGCTGCAGGTTCTCTGTCTGCTTGTGCACAGGGATGATGGAGTTCTCCAGCTTCATCAGGCGGCTCTCGAAGGACGACAGGATGGACACCTGCGGGGGACCCCCGGCTCTCAGGCTCACTGCCCTCCCAGCACCGCTGCTAGCTCCCCCCGGGCTGGGCCATTTGCCGCCCGTTCTCTGGTGTTCTAGACCATAAGCTCCATTAGGGAAGGGACGGGGGTGTAGCTGTTCACCGCTGTATCCTCAGCACCGACTCTGAGCCCAGCACATAGGAGGCGGTCCAAATAAATCGGATGAAGTTTGATTTGAAGGCAATTCCAACATCAAATGAACTCCTCCTAAGATAATCACCCCAGGATGGTTTCCCTTCCACCCTTTGAAGCCGAAGCTCAACTTCTGTTCTTCCTGAGGCTTTCCTAGGCTGAACAGGAAGTAGTTTCCTACGGAGTAGCCTCAAATGCATTGCTGGCATTTTCAGAAGCTACTCTAAGGATGAATCTCATTAAATGAGGACTAGGACTTTATGATTGTGTTACTAAGTACCTGCCCAAGTTTGTATTTATTCAATTTGTGCTACAGTCTCCTCTAGAAATAAAAAAGAAAACATATTTGTTGAGCGCCTATTGTATACCAGGCAAACTATCAGATGTGTTCCCATGTGTTAGTGTCTATGACATTCACAGCCACATTGGGAGGCTGGCATCGACTCCGGTTTATCGGATGAGTTAACTGAACCTCTGAGTTACCTGTCAGATCTGACTTCGGCGCTCCTGCTACCCCCACAGCCCTCGGGGAGTGAAGGCTGAGTTCCATCTGCCTTCAGGAATCTCAGAAGGGCTAACCCTGCCCTCCGCCCTCCCATCGCTTGCGTTGAGAATGACATACGAGCAATACGCAGCCCACCTAAGTCAGCCTCACAAATGTCTGCGGAAGGAGAGGAGAAAGGAATGCAGAGCTTGGAGAGAAAGCAGACAGTGCAGGCCGGCGTGGGCAGCAGCGTCCTCGGCGAGGAGGCGGACAAGGGGAAAGGAGCTAGGTAGGAGACAGGCCACACTTCTGCTAGAGAAACCACCCGTTACCGCCATCAGTGCCCCGGCCAGAGCCCCAGGCCTTACGGACCGGAACCCCTAGGTCGCAGCGCTGCCCTCCAGGACCTGGGGCCTGTCAGCTCCTCCTAGCTAAGAGCTTACTCACCATGTTTTTGGTGAGCTGGTCGCTCTTCTCCAGGCTGTCCCGGATGAAGGACAGCGTCTCCTCCTCCTGCGGGAGCGCAGGCGAGGGCGTCAGCAGCAGCCGGGCCGCAGACCACCGCGCCGCGGCCCCACGGCCTAGCCGCCGAGCCCATCTCCGTGCGGGGAGTGCCCCACTCACCCCCGCCTCCTCCCTGAGTGGATGCCGCGGCCCGATCTCGGCCCCTCGCCTCCCCTCCTCCGCCGCCTCCAAGCCCCAGCCCAGCCTCACCTGCTTCAGCTTGTCCTCAATTTCCCGCCGTCGGGCGGACGCTTCCTGCGGGGGTATCATCCCTGCGACCCCGCGGCTCCCACTTCCAGGGTTTTGTCTCAGGTGCGTGCCTTCTCGGCCTCCGTCCCTGCCACGCCCACTTCCGCCACTGGCTCCGCCCCCGAGCGCGCTGCTGGCGCCCTGTTGGGAGTGGCAGCCGGAAGTGCTCCTGCGCGAGGCACAGGGACGGGCTGCGGTAGGTAGCCATCTTGGGTGTGGCTGGGAAGTGTGGCTGGGAAGTGTGGCTGGGAAGTGTGACCTCGCCAGGGGTCAGGCTGGAAAGCCTCGTTCAGCTCGTCACCCCTCTGAAGAGCGCCTAGCGCAGGAAAAATATCGCTAACGTCTTGCTCTATAGGCCGTAGGAAGGGGCTTCTCTATGATTGTGAACGAATACTTGGAACTTTGTCCAATGTTATTGCACTTTTGTAAATGAACTGTATAAAACCCCAAAACCCGGAATTATCTTCTGGGGTGGGGGGTCAGGCATTGTAGTCCAGGCGAGTGTTCTAGAAGTCCGTCTGGATCAGTTTACCAGCTGGTGGTGTTGTGAGAGGCTGCATCCGGCTTCAGTATATTATTTGTGAAGACTCAGCGGGTTTGCACCATGGGTGATTTAGGAAGGAGCACATCTGCCCACACAGTGCTGGGTGGTCAGCAGTTTTTAACCAAAAATGGCTCGGCTTCTATGCCCCATCCTCCCTATTCACCTGGTCTCTCCCTGAGCAACTTTTTTTGTTTCCCTGCATGAAAAAAGTCCTCAAAGAGGAACGTTTGGCTGATGTGGAAGCAGTGAAACAAAAAACGGCAGAAGCACCAAACGGCACCAAAATCGACACGTTCGAAAATGTTTTGAGCAGTGGAAAAACATCTCGATAGGTGTATTGCCTGAAATGGAGCGTACTTTGACGGTGACTGAAATTTAAACGTGTAAGGATAAATACACACTTCTTCTTAAATAAATTCCATTTTGAGGAGCTTCCTCCTCCACATGGGTGTGTGTGCTGGTTTGTCCTTTCTCAAATTTCCTTCACTAAGTGTAGTTTGGTAGCCAGCTGCCAAGTACTGAGAGCCTCCTGTTTGCCCATCTCTGTTACAAACACCTTCCTTGCTCCTTGTCTTGTCTAATCCTCACAGTAAACTTCCTCAGGAACCTCAGGCTCTGCGAGGTCCGCTGTGCTAAGTCAACACAGCTGGCGGAGCGGGTGCTCCTCTGCCCACCTCCCCCTCGGTGGGAAGCTCAGGAGGTTGGTTTGTTGCTATGCAAAGCTGCAATCTGACTTTCAAGAAAATCCATTGTGAAAAGCAGGTCGTATATTTGACAACCACATTTAGAAAAAGGTAGAGGGAATGAAAACGTGAGTTTAAATCATTCTCAACCCAATGTCAGGCATGTGTTGACAGGCAGGCATTGATTCAAGACAAGCTGTCATTCCCCAAATATACTGAGTACAAGCTGCTGCGGCGGAAGGAGCAAGTGGCGCTTCCATTGCAGTTTCAGAAGCCTGTTGCTCTTTCACAAAAGGACGCGGAGGTGCCGGTCACAGCCTAGCCCCCTCTGCCCACTCACAGAGACACTCTTTCGGGGGGGGGGGGGGGGGGGGGGGCGGAGGAGGAGCCTGCTCCCCCAACAGTGTTCTTTCTTTGGAAATTTCCTAATTCCAGGCTTGGTGCTTTTTCGGAGGCATCGAGTGTAACACTCCTCCAAATTAACGTTTCCGGGCCCTGCAGCCATGCCGAAAATGTGTATGCTATGACGCGAACAACCACAGCGGTGTCTGTTCCCTGGAATTACGGCCATTTAAAATGATAGATGCATTGCAAACAAACAATCAAACAACCTCAGGGAAACACCACAGGACACTAAAAGGGTAAGTTTAGTACAAGGGATTCTCAGTTTTCCTAGTTTCTAAAGATGGTGAGTTTAAATTACCTTTCTACTGAAACGCTCCTAAGAAAACAAATTTTCCTTTTTTCTGTAATGATCAAAAACCGTCTCCCCCATCCCCATTTAGAAACTACCAGCTGTCGACAGTGCATCTGACAAGAGTTCTCAGGAGGGTTTTTTCCCCCTTGAAATCCTTTTAAATATACAATAAGAGAAAGGACCTGGGTGTGCAAAGCCCGGGAGTGGGCAGCCTATTGTGTGCTTCCTTATAAGGAAGAGGGAGCAAAGGAAATATTTAGAGTGCTTTCAGCCACGTGTGGGCTCAAACTTGCAGTCTGGCTTTAAAACTATGTTCAAATCCCACATAATTCTATTCAAACTGCAGAGAAGGTGTGTAGTAAAAAACACACAGTGTCCTCCTCTGCCTTGACCTCCAAGCATCCCTGTCCCAGAAGTAACCGCAGTTAACACATTCTGGATGAATTCATACAAATCCAGGCATATTATATACAGAATAAGTTCTTTCTTTTTACTCTTATAGAAAACACAAATGCTATCACATTAAACGTTTTCTCGTAGCCTGCAGGTTCACTTAACAGCGCACCTTGACCATCTTTCAGTATCGGTATCATGGAGATGCTCCATTCTTTGCCTAGACTTTCGTTGAATAGCTACAACCACACCTGCACAGACATCTATGTGTTACTAAATTAAAACATATATGTCTTTAAAATGTCTACAGAAATGTGCAAATTGCCATCCCAAGTGGTTGGACTCGTCTGTCAATATGAAAGTGTACATATGCTTGTTCCTCTACACCTTAACTCACGCTATGTATTATCAACTTCAACATTTTTGGCCATCCTGATAGATGAAAAACGGCATCTCATATTTAATTCTGAACTAAATTAAAAGGAAAGTGCGATGCATCGGTATTTGTGGGACGCAATGAAAGCAGCGCTGAGAGGGAAGTTTATAGCATTGAATGCACACACTATGGAGGAAAAAAAAGATCTAAAACGAGTAATGGGAGTTTCTACATTAGAAACCTGGAAAGAGCAAAAGCAAAAGCAAAAGCATAAGCAAATTAAATCCAAAATAAACAGAAGAAAAGAAATAAAAATTACAGTAGCAGTCAATAAAATTGAAAGAGAAAAATCAAGGAAATCAAACGTTGGTTCTTTGAAAAGATCAATAAAGTTTATAACCTCTAGTTAGGCTAATCAAGAAAAAAGAGAGAAGGCGCAAATTACTAATACCAGGAACGAACTGGGGCATCGTTACTGATCCCATGGACATTAAAAGGATACTAAAGGAATATTATGAACAACTCTATGCCCTTCCATTTGACAATTTAGGTGAAACAGATCTGGTTCTTGAAAGACAGATTTACCAAAACTCACACAAGGAGAAACAAATAATCTGAATAGGCCTATAGCTACTACAAAAATTGAATCAATGAAAAAGATTCCAAAACAGAAAGCACTAGGCCCAGATGATTTCACTGATGAGTTCTACCAAACATTAAGTAACACAGAGGCATGTCAGAAGATAGAAGCAGGGGAACACTTCCTGACTCACCCTACGAGGTCAGCATTACCCTAATGCCAAAACTAGCAGAAGACATGGCAAGAAAAACTACAGATCAATATCTCTCACAAATGTAGCTGCATAAATACTCAAAATATTAGCAAGATCGACTCCAACAATGTATAAAAAGGATTACACATCGCAACAAAGTGGGATTTATTTCTGATATGCAAAGCTGGTTCAATGGAATTGTGTAACTTAATTATATATTTCATGTTCAATATTTCCGTCTTGGCTTTTTTCTCTAAAAAAAAAAACAAACCCCGGAAAACAAAAACAAACAACAAAAAACACCCCACTTCTTCTCATTTTGTTTAAAGATGAGCTTTAAAATCATTTTCACAACTGCAAATTGAATTTAGGTCCTCAAAGAGGGCGAGGAGGGGCGCGGGGGCGGGATGTCCCGGGGATCCCAGCCCCCTCGGGGATAGAAGCAAAGTGTGACCCCAGGAAGGGAGGGCGGCTGGTGAAGCTGCCACAGCAGGAGAAGGGGCTCCCCGGTAGGGGCTGTAGCCCCGCTGAGGGCAGATCAAAGGTAGCCAAGAAGCAACTGGTCTTCACAGCTGGGTAACCAAATGGTGGTGGTCAGGGGGGCGTTGGGCCTCCAGGCAGGGTGGTATCGGGGTGCAGGTGGACCTCGGCTGCCTCTCCGGGCACCTGGCCCGACCCAGAGGGTGCCCACCCAATCTGTGATGGACAAATAAGCAATTAGGTGATGGCTCGTGGGTGTGTGTTCCAGAGTCGGGGACCGAGGGGAAGGAGGTCGGTGCGCCGCTGAAGGCCACTGGACCCTCTCCGCCCTGAAAATCACAGTGACATGCTCACGGGGAGCAGAGGCAACACCTCACCGAGATGTGACTGAGTAGATGCACCAGTGCCTCCTGCCTGTCTGCGGAGCCCCCACCCCAACTGACCAGGGCAGGCCCCGGGGGCAGGTGGGAGTCTGGCTTGGGACACGTGTTCCCCTGGGAATGTGTTCCACGTGGCGGCTGACCCCCGCCCTTCCCCAGCCTACTGTCCCTGGGGCATCTTTCCTCTCAAGGTCTCTTCTTTAGGTCTCCCCTGCTGCTTTCCAGAAGCCTCTGAGCGGGTTTCGAGGACGCGGCTGCACCGCAGGGGGGCGCACTCACCCCGCTAACCCGGGAGCTGGAGCCCAACGCGGGCTGCGAGGGCGCGAAGGACGAGTGCGCGGGCCAAGGGGGCCCTGAAGGGGAGCCCGGGGCAGGAACCTCCGAGAACGGCTGGGGGGCAAAGACGGGAAGGAGGGCGGCCCAAGGGCAGTGGGTGGGTGGAAATAGAAAAAGGGGGGCAGGAGGAACCCTGAAGAGGAGTGGAGCATGGAGGCGGATAGAAAGCCAGCAAACGAGCAAAACTCGAGAGGGCACGTAGCAGGCACAGCGGGGAGAGCGGCAGGCAGGAAGGAGAACCATGAGGCTGGGGCCAGCGCTGCCGGCTTTTCTTCCCGTTCCTCTCCTTCCCCCCACCGGCCGGGAAGGAGGTCCAAGCCAGCGGGCCGTGGCGACGTCGCCGCTGGCACCCGCGGCATTTCGGCCGTGCGGCTCCAGGCAACGGAGGACGCCGGCGGTCGGTCAGTC